TAGGATTTTTGGGTTGTGGCATGTGTCGAGTAATGACTAGGGTAATGGTAAGCTGGGCTGTCATACTCTTATTCTCTGAATACCGATAAGTCTTTCATCTCTTCGTAACTTAGTTGCCTTTCACAGCTTATCAGCCAAAGGTGACTAGGTCAGACACTTTCAAAGTCTATGGTGGGGTTATAGTCTACAACATCTGTTTAAAGACTTATATTTGCTCAGTCAAGGCCTAAAACTGCTCTATAATGGGACTAGCCTGTTGTGAGATGGCTAGATCTGAGTGTTGGTTGTTGTGTGTTTCTGTTCCAACCGAGATAATTATCTATCCTTCCTTCAAAGTTATCTTCTTATGTAGCATTGCTCTGTGCTCAGCTAACGAATAAAAAAATACCCATACCTAGGGTGCCAAATATTTGTTCCAAGCTTCGATATGGAGGTGTTCTTAAAAAAATAAAAAATTGGAAGAGATTAGTTAAAAGCAAAGGCAGGGGGCATTTCTTGTGTTTGTACTTTGATATGCAAGTCAGAATAAAAAAGGTTGAAATAAGAGAAAAGTAAAGGATTGGAATTAGATTGAACCTACCTCAGTGATGCCTAAATGTTTGTATTTATAGATGAGAGGTAAAAAACCAATAGAGGATAATGGTGTGGTTGAGCTGATGTAGCATTGAGTGTGTTAGGTTGACCTGACATATCGTGTTGGCATAAATATCCAAATTACTCCTGGTTGTGTGTTAAGGGCTTTTAATAAAAAAAAACTATTATACATTTTTTACCATCAAATGCCTCCAATTGAAATGAAGGAAATAAATATGATTTTCCTTTTATTTTCACTGCTTCCTTTTTTTCGTCCAACCAACCATACACAGTTTAAGTTTTGATGAGGCAATTATGATGGGAAAAGGCATACATGAAATTCATTAAAAGTTCTTAGTAAAAACATTACACATGTTTTAAAATACTGTAAAGTAAAAAAAATAAAAGAATGAAAATAAGTTCTTACTACCCTATGCAATTAAAACACAATTCTATATTTTTATGCAAAAATTTCTATGTACTTGTAGAAACTTTGATTCAACTTTTTTTTTATATATATATAAATAAAATTACAGTTTGAGCATATAAAAATTATAGATATGAAAATTTACAATTTTAATTTATTAAATATTATTTTTTAAAGATAATAATATAAATCAATTGAATTAAAATTAAAATTTTTATATTATCAACGAATATAAGGTTAATGGAGGAGTTGAAACAGTCTCTTGAATAAAAAGAAAAAATAACAATAAACATCGGGTGGTCTTAATTGTAGGTGCAATTATTCTTCATCCAAGTAAATTAGTCCCATTCAATGACATGGAAGTCCTCGTATTAATTCACATGATAACTTATATTTATGTTAAAAAAAGGTCAAATCAAATAGAGAAATAACCTTTGTACTAATTTAACACTATATAGCTAAATCATATAACTTAGAGTTAATGAAAAAATAAAAAATTTATTGTGAAAGGAATATATGATAGAGCTTGTTTGAGGTATTATCCTAAGTATAAGCGTAAGCATAAATAAAGACAGCAATAGGAATAAACAACGAAATTGAAATTGGAAAGCTATCTCCAACTACTGATGGATGATATTAATAGATCCCAAAGAAAAATGTGATGTGATGTGGTTAAGACTATTTCAACCCTACAAAGAGAGAGATTATTGAAATTATCCCATGTCTGCTATTAAGAGGGCTGAAAATCACTTTATAAAAATGAGAGAAAGTATTACTTTCTTGTGATACCTTAGCCCAAATGATAATTGGATTAGACTAATATCAAAGTCCATCAGTTTATTAAGAGACTAATTAGTAAAAGAAAAACGTTAAAGTATTAGATGAAAGAAAACTTAGCTATCGAAAAACAGAAAAAAAAAGAGTTATTCTTCCTTATCTTTCTTAGGGTTAGAGAATATGAAAAATCAAGTTGGCGATTCAAAATCAAAGGCTACAATTAAGTTAATCCCCTAAAGATGAGTATATGTTCTCTTTTTATTTAAGAAGAAATATCAAGTTGATTGCTATTATTTGGAATTGAAGTTTTGAGAGCAAAACTAAGAAAAATTATGAAATCTTTCATTAATCTTCATGATTTATTTAGATACATTATTGGCTTTGTTTATTTTATGTTCTTAAGATTTATTTATGATTGTTGAATGGAGTTTAAAGGTTGAAAATAGGGATTTGAGTTTTTTAAAGATTAAAGGAGAAATTTTGTTTTTAGATGAGATGTTATGATCTGTAATAATGAATTAAAATAAAATTTTGTATTAATAGATAGATTATTGCTGTGATTATTATATATCGTTGGAAAGCTTGCTGAATTTACATTCCAAAGAAATAAACGGGAGTCTATTCTGAGTTTTCTATGAATAGTAGTTTAATATTTACTTAAGGATGTGCAGGCTGCTTAGTAGCAGCAGCAGTGAGAAATTTTGAAATTCTTCTTAATTTTTATACAAGGAATTATGTATTGAGCCATACATGTTTGAAAAGGTCATTAAGTCTACTTTTCAATGAAATAAGGGGAATTGAATTTGGAGTTTCCTATGGATAAATACATAATTTTTATTAGAAGGTATACAGGCTATCTGGCAACAGAATCTGATGTGGATTTCAAAATTTGTTATAATTAATCTACAAGGAATTACGAGGTGGGCCATATATGGTTAGAAACCTTATCAAGTCTAGTTTCTAACGCATTAAAGAGATCTTAATTCTGATTTGGAGATATTGAGATATGACATTTTAATGAAAAGAGATTAGGCTACCAGTATTAATTAATTGAGTTAACACTTGTGTAACTTAGTTTGTATAAATGGTCTTAAAAAGGGTTGATTAAATTTTGATGTGTTGAAATGATCTTGAATAAGCCATTAATTATTTTGGGAAAAACTAAGTGGTGGAATCGAAAAGAGATAAGTAGAATTTCACACACTTTGCTTATTTTTAAATTTATGTATATATGTAAGTTCCTAAATGAATAAATGTTTTATTTCTTTATCTTCGATATATGAAAATAGGATCAAGCATATCATTATTTTGTGTTTTTTCTATGTAAATGATGGATCATGCTTATAAATGAAATGAGAAAATGATTTTTGTTTAAAGAATGATTTTATGATAACTACGTTTTTACATCCCTGGGAAGTGGGATCATCGACACCAAAACTAATTCTACGACCCAGGCTAATGGATAATAGTAGTTAGCAAATACATGATCATACGACCATGGCTAATGGGTAATAGTAGTTAGTGTAAGGTCCTAGCTAACGGGTTATAATAGTTAGCAATAATCATGAGGATGAATTGTCAATACAGCCAATGTCACGAGTTATAGCAGTGACCGTAGCTAATGATAAACAAATGATAATGATAATTTATGATGATTTTAAAGTTTGATCCATGATTTGTATATAAAGATGATTTACGATGATTTTAATGATTGATCCATGATTTGGTTTGATTACGATATTTGAATGATATAATATTTTGTAATGATTTATGAAGTAACTTATTTTAACATTGATTAATGATCTGCGAATGCTTGATAGAACGTTGATTTTTTTTAAAATGTTTTGACATTATGATTTAATGACTATTTTGAATACTCTATATGATATGTATGAAAATGATGTTTGATCCGATAAGGTGTGTGAACCTATACTTACTGAGTTGTAATTTGCTCATTCTCCTTTTACTTTTTCTTAACAGATGAGTAAGTGATAAGTTGCTTAGTTTTGTGAAAAGCTAGAAGATCAAATGGGAAAGATTATTTAGTCATCGAAGATAATGTTGGCCAGTGAGATCTTATGAAACAGTTTTGTATTTCATATGGTTTGTATTTAGATGTATCGAGATATATTATTAGTTAGATTAAATATATGAATTTTACTTAATAAACTATATCAGTTTTATTGAAGAATGTTATAATTAATAAAAAAAAAATTTCATATTACTTTGAAGTTTACTTCAAAATAATATGACCATATTTCGTCTTAGTATCGGGGCGTGATTTTCTTGAGCTAGATTTAGGGTTAGAAAACCCACAATTGCCTAACAAGTTGGCCAATTGCATTCTTGAGCTAGCTTTTGGGGTTAAAAAGCCCCACTATCGCTTAACAAGTCCCCCCCCCCCCCCCCTTTCCCTTCGCCTAACAAATCAGCGAATTGCATTGGACAGGGATAAGTAATATGGTCTTCTTCAACTGCAAAATCATTGAAAGGGAGCAAAGCTGCTCCCCGCCCCCACCCCCAATTTACAACACTACAGAGAAGTTGATTGCACTGGCCAAATACAATTTGTATTAGCAACTTGAAATTTGATCGATTAGACTAATTACAAAAAAAAAATTTTTGTTTTGTTCGCAAACACTAAAAAGTTTTTTGTATGGGATGATTTATTAAAAATTATTATGATCTGTATTCAGTAATTACATCATCTTTTTTTATAGTAATTTAAAAATTCTTCATGATAATGATTTGCCTTCATTAACTATATCATTTTTTTAGTAATAATTTAAAAATCTTGCATGCCAGTGATCTTAAATCACTATAGTGATAAGATCTAATGATTTAAATCCCAATGAAAAAGTTTTATAATCATGAAAAAGTAATCTTTAACATCATTTTTTGATTAATTTGTTCTCACGAAAAATATAATTAACATTAACACAAGAAGTTGGCCACTAAATATTTTAAAAAATTAATTTTTTAATCACTTATTTTAAAAAGATTTTAGGTTATAAATTTATATTGATTAGAAAAATAATAAAATTATTTAATAATTTTTTAAAAATTATTTTTATCAAATTGATTTATACTTTGTAACTTTTTATAAAATAATGTTTAATTATTTTATAAATTGTTAATTCAATAAGTATTAAATATTTTACTATTTTGCAAAGTTATTTTAGATATTTTATATTATATAATTTATTTTTTTCATTTAATACCAAATAAAATAATTTAAAAACACTAATAATTTATAATATTATATCAAACATGATAATCTAAGATCACTAGTGATCAAATTACCTTGGTGATCTTATTACCATGGTAATGAGATCAATGCAATGATCTTGAAAATGATACCAAATACTACCAAAATGTATAAAGCACTAAACAATATCCAAACTGTACTACCATCCTATACAGTCCTCTAACTAGTTCAATGAGCAATTTGAATGTTAAATGTGTCGAGTGATCTAAAGTTTTGGCAACCATGATATCAAAGCACCGATATATATCTAATTGCCTGAGGAGATGATTAACAGTTTGAAGAAACTGAAATTAGAAGGTTTTGACAGTGCAAAGGGATAAATATGCCGATTGTTGGTGCAAATAAATCACTCTGAGGCCACTTGACTCCCTGAATCATTGGTGATAGGTTCAACCTTTGCCACTTTTCTCTTGCGGCCAACGTCTGATGCCAACCTGAGAAACAATCACAATATCAACACGTGATTATGATGAGTCTAACTGAAAATTCTGAAATATAAATGAAGTATTAGAAAACTATGAAATCCAACAGAAGTAATTAGTTGAACGCTAGATAAGTCCTTTTTATGGGTTCCTTCAGCTCCTAGTCAAACCAAGCATGAATTTTAGTTGCTACCATTTGCTTGCATTGGTTGAAGCCTAAAGCTCTTCTTGGCTTATTGGCATTTTAAGTAAACCCCCACAAACATATAGCTGACTTATCAAGGATATATGTTGCATGTGACTGTTAAAATGACCAACACATAAATGATAGAAATATGAGATACGAATAGGCATTCAGGCAGAGAAAGAACGGGGATGAACATGGGTGCTTAACCCAGAAGATTCACCCACCTCCCTTCCTAGGTGGATTACATTAATGTTGGGGTTCCAGTCCCAGTTCTTGCATTCCCTCTTCCCCGATATTGCACTTAACAACGAAAGAAAGGAGACAAATGTTAAAAGAAAATGTGAATGACAAATCTGCAACATACCCTAAGTGCAAGGAAGTGTCTGAATGATCATTTTCATCATTGTCATCATCCTCCCCCTCTGATGCACAATCATAATCATCAGCCTTTGAACTAGTGGTGGAAAATCTTATTCGTAGTGGATTGAATTCAAGTAAATTTGAGCTTGTTCTTTGTTGCAGTTCCTCAACCTTAGTACATCCAGTGGAGCAAATAAAAACTAAGGACAATAGAATATTACAAATTTGGAAACCTTAATACAAAACTGCCTTTTTGCTACATATAAAACTTGATTTTGTGGCCTACCTGGTTACGTAGAGTCTCAGTCTCTAGAATAGTGTTCTGCTCCTGAAAATAAATATCAGCAGAAATTATCAGTGACAATCATTTAAATGCTAAAGATAGGATTCTTATATAAGAGGATGGTTTTAAAGTTTTAAGCGAAATTATTTCAAACACATTCAGTAGAGTTAGACTATGCGGGTTAGTAGGGTGATACATGCTTAAAGTATATTAAAAAATAAAAAATTAGTTAGAAAAATGTGGCATATGTTAATCTTTTAACTTCACTTGTGGAATTAAAAAATTACACTAACAAAGTATAAAAAACTACCTAAAGTTTTAATATACTTTTTCTGCAGTCATTAGCATGGGGCCTATGCAATGTGCTTAACATGAACAAATCAAGGAAAAGATGAAAAGCTTATGTCTTGAAATTGAGTGCTCAAAACCCTTTTAAAATCCCAAAAGAATGAAAAGTGCAGTGAGCTTCTTGAAGTCTATGAGGGAAAAAACTTTTAAAAACTAATCAAAACATTCCTTTACAATTTTTATTTCGTAGAAGGACCCTTGAAACATTTAAAAGCATGTTTTTTTGCCTGGTCATTCCATCAGCTTTTGATGGCTGAATAATCAAGTTTTCTCCTCTAAATAAGTCAGTGGCTTAATTAAGCATTGGATTGGCATATTAGCTTTTTAAACTATAGCCTTTATGTCAAATGTCCAACTGCTATAAGAATGTACAAAATTTACCTGTAGCCTGGATCTTTTAAGCTGCTCCAGTAGAATTTGCTCCTGCAAGAATAAAACTTCAGTTTAAGAGCTCTGAACAGAGTACAACTTTGGCAATCTCTTTCAATAATGGAAGAGTGATAGCTCACAATTAGGCTCTGAAATTAGCACCAGATATGAGATAAATATTAGCATTAATTTATATGAAATGGCTTTGAATTTCTGTTTGGAGGTTAGAGTTACAAAAAATACTACTACTATGTTAGTTTGGAGTCAATATTGATTAAAATAAAAAATAGAATTGTAGCAATTTGAAAATTAAGTCTAATTTCTCATATGAAACCCAAAGAACAACATGAAACTAAATCTGGCATTTCTCCTTGTAAATGAAAAAATATATATATGGCATTTCTGACCAAATATTGAGTCATCAAAAGCTGAATAAGTAGATCAGACTGTCAATGAACATGCCGACAGAGCCAAAAAAAAAAAAAACTGAACCAGCAGTTCATGTCCAAGCAGATTTAAAGGGAAAATGGTGTAGTAAGATGAATATTAATACTGTTCATACCTTTTGTTCTTTAACTGATAATATCCCTTCATTTAATTGGTGCTCCAGCTGTTGCAGTTCTTTAAAACTCAGACCATCCAGCCCCTTAGCATTAAGCCGCCTGCAAATCAGAACTGAATTAATTAATGAAATATTGATGTACATGCTTCATTCATTTTTCAACTTACTGCATTAAATTGAGGTCATTGGAATTACTGACAGAAACAATTTTTTCCTCGGGGAAAACTAAAAACTAAAGAGTTAATTATACTTTTATTATTTGAACTTTGAGAAAATATATAAATTAGTACCTAAAAAATAAAATATATAATTTATACCCTAAACTTTCAAATAATATATCATTTTAATCCAAATTTTAATATTATTAACTTAACTCGTCTTTATGATATATAACTAGTGCAATTTTGTTATATCCATGTTATTTATTATATAATAATATTAAATTTTTTGTAAAAGCCTTTACGTGGATGTCATATGACAAAAAATGATTAACAGATCTTAGACTTCTTTACAGTTTAGGTAAAAAATATATATGTTTTTAATTTATATTTAAAAAATATTGATAATATGTACGCTAAACACATAATATAATAATATATGTCAAATGCTATATATATAAGTTAATATGATTAGTGAGATTGGAGTTTAGGTTAATAAAAATAATTTAAAATTTAGATTGCAAATTATATATTATTTGAAAATTCAATGAGATATTTTATTTTTTAAAATATTTATTTGTACAATTTTTTCAAAGTTAAAGTTCTAAAAATGTAATTAATTGAAAACTAAATTTTGATTAAAAAACATTAAAGTAACTCATTTCTCTTGAGCACACTAGAAAGAAGAGAATGTGATGTCGTAGTGTGGATGTCATTCTTCCTTATAATGATTTTTTTAGGCCACTTTAAACTAAGAAAATAAAGTAATGGGACAAGATAGGCATGATAATTAATATATCCCTGTGATGTTTGTTTTGTATTAAATATATATAAAATACAAAAATTATTATTTTATAATTAATGTCAATACATCAAACATGAAATATATATTTTTTATTTTTATCAAATTTATATACAATTTTTATTAAAATTTTAAACCATTTCACGTTTATATTTTTTTCATATTGATTTTTTATCATTAGATTACATCATATTTAAAATTATCAAGATAAGATATCATTTTCATTTCTATCACGTGGAAAATTTTTTCACTTTCACTACCACTTCCTTAGTTATATAGTTGGAAAACAGTATAATTGAAATGACTTACATGTATGCAACACGCAGCCCTAAGTACTCCTCTTTCAGGGTGTTCACATTAATTGGTTGCGGGTTCTGCTTATTTCACCAATGATAAAAACCAACATCAGAGCATTCATCCAAAATTTTCTTGAGAACATAATGGAAATGAGAGCCATTAAATCCATCTATATGCATATTGATGGTAAATGAAAAGAAAATTTATATGAATGTAGTATACCTCTGCCTTTTATTTATCAAAAGGATGTTTCTGAGATTTATCCACTATCATGCCTCTGTTGTATCTTAAAAGAGTGTGTTCCATTCTACGTTGATGCAATGAAGTATCATGAGAAAAAGTTTTCTAAATCGTTTGGAGACTTTGGGTTTTGGGACATCTTTTGTCCAATATTAATTGGGCTTGAGCTCATGGAAATTTAGGTCCAATTACCCTCAACCTTGTTTCAGCCACATTTTCTTGTAGCCATATTTTTTTTCCTACGGTTTTGCGGTTGAAAGGTTTCTCTTTTCCTTTTTCTCTTCTTCTTTAAGAACTGCCCACAATGCCAATGACTTTCTTTCTTTTTTTTTTCCTTTCTTCTCTGCAACTTTGTTTCTCAAGGAAAAAATGGAAATTAACCAAATTAAACTCAACTAGCATATTGTTTCATACGATATGAAATTCATAGATTTTCATCGCGTTATCAGTAACTAAATTCAAATCAAAACCTGGTAATGATAAAATGAGAATTGCTTTCATCAATTAAATTGGAAGGTTATTTTCATGATTGTAAAAAATGGCTTAAAAATTAAAAAAAAAAAAGGTACAAGGTTTACATACGTGGTGCTAGACCATTGATAAACCTTGTCGATGCTAGAGAAAATAATGACTCCAACCTCTGCATCACATAAAATGGACAACTCTTTAGCCTTCTTCAACAACCCATTACGCCGTTTTGAGAACATTACTTGCTTGCTATTCAAATTCTCTATCTTTTTTATTTCAATCTTCCCTTTACCCATCTCCTCTTCTATCCCAAAATTCCTATATATCTTTTCTTTCTTAATTTCAAAAGCTGTGGTTATAACAACAAAGAACTGAAAAGAAAAGAAGGAAAAAAAAATCCAAGGAGATTGTAAACAGTATCTTTTGAGAGGAGTAAGTAATAATGTTTACATATAACTACATTTCATAAATGGAATAGGATTCTGTGGGACAATAAAAATAATGAAGGAAAGTGTGACCAAAATTAGGGTAGAATATGGAAAGGTGACAAATGGGATACTATATCTAGCCATTCTCCAAATAAGGAAGTCTAATTATTATAGGAGTAGGTTTTTTTTTTGTTTTTTCGATTTTTTTTTATATTCATCATATCACTCATGATTTTAATAGTATTTTTATTTAATTTAATTGTCTCCTTATTGATTTTGTATTACTCTTAGAGTACTTAATCTAATCTAATTTCATCTTACCATTGTTATAATTTAATTAGAGTCAATTTTATCCAATTGTGTTTTGACATTCTACTAGATTTTATTTTTCGTTAGGTTTTATTTAAATTGATTACAGTACTAAATGCAAATGAAATAGAAAATTGTTAGTAATTTTCCTTTTCATAAAAAGCTGTTTCCAAACACATCCTTGCTAAATTTGTGGTAATAATTAACACAATCTCCTATTGTTAGTAAAACATGGGGCCTAGGTTTCCCAATGGTTTTTCTTTTTTCTTTTTTTTTATACAGAAAAATTGAAGGAAAAGTTATCTGACTCAATAGTTTTTTCTTTTATTATTGGATTAGTATGAATAAAATATAGAATATATATGGAAATAGTGATGTCTTCACTTAAATTTGTTTTCAATCATCTCTAGAACTTTTGGCTCTTTGGGTATTCCCCAATTATTTCTTAGTTTCTCCAAGTCTAAAACGGCAATTATCCTAACCATGATGCGTTCTTACAATAGCTTTCATGCCATTTTGGGAATGATAGTGATCATATTAACCCCAAGATATATCAATATACTAGTCGAATTGTCCATTAATTTGAGTATGAAAATAAATTTTCGATATGATTTCTTTGTGTTACTCAAAAGATAACTTTAAAAAAAAAAAAAAAGTGAACTTTCCTTTCTTATATGTATTGGAAAGATGATCATAAAATTTGAAAGGTTATGGTTTTGGTCCTATTGGAATATGAGTAATCAATAAGAAGCTAGCTTTTTTTTCTCCTTCATTCTACTAACATATTATTAAAACTTAGACATTTCACTCAAAATTTGTGAAGGTTAAAATAGGCATGACAGGAAAAAAGGGCATAGCGTCTGCAAATTCTGTTAATGGAGGTGTTTTTGCCATAAAAATTAATAAATTCAAAAATCTATCCATTCACAAACCAAACAATAAAAATTATCTAGAATAGGTGCAATCAATGAAGCTCATGATTAATGGCAAGGGAAAGCTCAGCTATTTGACAAGTAAAGCAAAAAAACCTGGCTAATAATGACCCAACATTGAAGATAGAGATTTGAGAATTTTTTAGTGATTGTATGACTTATAAATTCCATGGAGCTAGCAATTGAGAAAATCTATTTCTTTTTGCCAGTTGCAAGAGAAATATGGGAAGTGGTTTAAAAGATATACTATGATCTAAAAAATTCATCTCAATTCTTTAAGTTGAAAACTAAACTGTGGCATTCTATACAAGAAGATTAAGAGGTGATAGAGTATTACAATAACATAAAAGCATTATGAAAAGAGCTGGACTTCTACTATAAAGAAGAGTAGAGGTGTGTAGATAATAGTGTGAGATACATGAAAAGGATGAAAAATAACAGAGTATATATTTTTTTGGTAGGGCTAAACAAGAACCTAAATAAGGTCAAAGGCTAAATTCTTGATAGAAAACTATAGCCAACTTTTCGTGAAGTGTTTGCTGAAGTAAAAAAAGAAAAAGACCAATGAAAAATGATGTTTAAAAAGAATAACAAACCTTCTACTAAAGCTTCTACTCTCGCCACTAAGACCTAATCTTATGCTCAATCTAGACAAACACGGTAAAATAAAAAAGGCAAAAAAGTGTGGTGTGATCATTGCCACAAGCCATGATACACAAGAGATACATGTTGAAAACTATATGAAAAACAATAGAATTGGAAGCTAATATCATCCAATCATGAATCACAAGCATTTTTAATAGGTGTCAAGGAACAAATTAATCTTAATGGCTTAGGAAAAACCACTGAGACATTTTTTTTTAATAAGGAATAGTTAGACCAGCTATATAAACTATTTCAATCCACACAATTCTCAAACAATGTGTCTTCCTCTTGTTTTTTAGCTAAAAAAGGTAATCATCTTTAAGCTGTTGCTTTTAATGTGTCCTCCATTACTAGTTATCCACAAATCATTGATTCTAGTGCAATGGACCATATGATAGGTTGTTTTAAATTGATTTTTTTCTTATAACCCATGTATAAAAAATCAAAAAATAAAAATTATTGATGTTCCCTTTCAACAATTGTTGGAAAAATATCAATAACTATGTCAAAATTTATTGTTCTTCATATTCCAAACCTCTCTTGCAATTTTTTATCTATTAGTAAATTAATTCGTGATTTAAAATATTGTGCTAAATTTTTCTCAACAACTGTGAATTTCAAGAATTGAACTTAAAGAGGATGGTTAGAAATGCTAAGAAAAATGATGGACTCTATTATTTTGAAGATGGAAACACCATGTATGGATAAGCTTAAGTGACTCGTCTTAGGTCAATCTCTGTCTTTAGTAACAATGACATAATATTGTGACATTTTAGGTTAGGCCATCATAACTTTCACTATTTGAAGTACTTGTTTCTAAATTTATTTCGTAATAAAAATCCATATTTTTTCAATGTTGATATTTGTCAAACTGCTAAGCATCATCATGCATCATTTTTTATTCAGCTTTATAAGTTTTTTAAGCCATTTGCTCTTATTCATAGTGATGTATGGGGTTTATATAGAACACCAACAATTTCTAGAAAAAAATAGTTTTTAACATTAATTGATGATCATAAAGGATTTGTTGGGTTTATCTACTTAAAGAAAAATCAGATGTTAAACATGTTTTCAAAAATTTTTATAATATAGTTTAAACACAATTTCAAGAAAAACATCAAGTGTTTCGAAGTGATAATAGTAAAAAATACTTTAATCAAATTCTTGGAACATATTTTTTAGAAAAAGGAATTATTCATCAAAGTTTTTGTATTGACACTCTACAGTAGAATAGAGTATCATAAAAGAAAAATAAACATCTCTTGAAAGTGGCTAAGTCTTTAATGTTTACAACTAAAATACATAAATACTTATGGGGCAACTATTTTTATTGCTACTTACCCGATTAATAAAATACCATCAAGAATTTTGAACTTCCAAACACCATTAAAAATGTTTAAAAAATGTTTTTCAATATCATGTTTAGTATCTAATTCATCTCTTAAAATATTTGGATGTGTTGCTTTCATGTATGTACATGACGATAATCGTAGAAAATTAGACCCATAAGTTATAAAATATGTTTTTATTGGATACTTTTTAACATAAAAAGAGTATCGTTATTTTCATCCTCAAACAAAATTTTTTTTTATAACTATGGATGTCACTTTTTTATATTCTCAAAGTTTTTTTTTTTCTACACTTCTTTTCAAGGGGAGAATAATTGTGAAGACTTATTCTTGAAACTTAAAAGTAAAAACACAAATTTATACTACAACCAAATACTTTAATCAATTTGGATTTTGGAGTTTCAAATCTAAAAGTGGGATAGCTTACTTCACTACCTATAAGTGAAATAGAAATTAGAACAAAAAATAATTCATAAAATAAAAAGAAAGCTTCTAAGCTTATTGTCTACTAAAAGAAAAAACAGATTCAAAAGAAATATGACATCATAACCTTACAAAGCCAAAAATCTAATACAAGGCCAAATCCAAATAAAATAGCTTCTTCAAGTCCAAATACCTCTTATGAATTTGATCCTTTAAAAATTGATATTTTTAATTCTATTGGTATTTTGATTACTCTTAGGAAAGATGTTAAAACATGTACTAAGCATTCAATTTTCAAGTATGTGTTATATAAAAATCTATCACCATTCCTTCTCTACTTTTAACTCACAATTGTTTAATGTGGATATTCTTGAGAATATATAGAAGACTCCAATTGTTTCTGAATGGAATGAGGCTATCTTTTAAGAGATGAAAGTTATGGAGAAGAATGACACATGGGAAAAGTTTAGTTTGTTGAAAGAAAATATGCCTATGAGATTTAAATGGGTGTTCACAATAAAATTCAAATCAAATGAGATTTTGGAATGTTACAAGGCAAAATTGGTAGCTAATGATTTTACATAGACATATGGGATCAACTACAAGGAAACGTTTACTCCAGTTGCAAAATTAAATATAAAAGCATGTATTTTTATCCATGGTTATGAACTTAGACTGGTCATTACAACGATTAGATGTTAAGAACACATTTCTTAATAGTAACTTAAAAGAAGAAGTCTTTATGGATGATCCACTCGGAATTGAAGATAATTTTTGGTCTAAAGCATACAAGTTAAAAAAGTCCTTATATGGTTTAAAGCAATCTCCAAAGGCATGGTTCGAATGATTCACAAGGTTAGTCAAGAATTAAGGTTATAGTCAAGGATAAACAGATCATACAATGTTCATGAAGCATAAGGAAGATTGCAATTTTAATTGTCTATATAGATGACATTTGCACTAGAAAAGACATAGTAGGTAATCACTTGAGCACCACAAACCAAAGAAAACATGATACTTTCGGTGGGATTTTAAATAACCACAACTACAAAACTCAAACAAGCTAAAGGAATCGAAGTTAGAATTTAACAAGAAAGATTTTTTTAACCTAAGAACTTACCTAAATTGTCATGCTCTTACACTATTCTATCATATTTTCTTGGTGTTAAAAAGAGACCTTCCAATATAAAGCACGGATCTTTTAGCAAAGACACCTCCCATTCAAATAGATCTCTCTTGAAGAAAATGCTCTAATTATAATGCTTAAAGTTACCATTCGATAAATATTCAACCACCTTTTGCAACTTTATCTACAATTAAAGAAAACAATCTTAGGAAAACCTTTTTTAATAGTCTATTAGTAGCCCACCTATATACTAGAATAAAACATCCTTTCTCAACCCAATAATCCACCTACAAGACTCTACTCTAATAAAGTTTTTAAATTTCTTCTCGTCTGAAAGAT